GATCTCAAATGCCCTATTAAGGTCATTATAAGTTGGTTCCAACTTGATGGCAAAGAACATACAGTTCTCTCCTTAAAATGCTGCATTTCATGTTCCTTGTCCCAAATAGGCTTATATCTGATTTTGGAAATGGTTAGGAGGGAAAAAAAGGGGGAGGTGTGTTTTCCAGGGCATGAAATTGTGAGGATAAGGATCTTTTGTCGACTGAAACCCTCTTGCAAATGACACCATGCCCAATTTATGAAAAAAAACATGGGGTTAGAAACTTGGTGTTTTCCTCCTTATGTCTTTATCTACTCTTACATGATCCATTAAAGGACTCTGCCTTACTTGCTGTATAAATGCAATCCTATGAGCATAGTCAGTCTACATTAAAGGGATGCCAGTGGCTTAATGCCATCTGGATAGATTTCATGATACAGAAGATATATCTGAGTTGCTAGTAATGAAACACAGTTTGCTGTGTACCACATTCTATTTTACTTTACTTCCCATGTGTTTGCACAATAAATTTTTTAATTATTGGTCACTGGTATTCAAAATCCTCTTGCTTAACATAGCAAATCACACTAGAATAGGCCCACTACATCAATGGGGATTTGTTGAGTCAATTCCTTACCTAAGTTCCATTGATTCAAATGGGTCTAGTCTAAGTAGGACTTAACTTAGGCACAGCACAATTTACTATGCTAAGCAACTGAAGTTTGGCTCTTGTATTCCATAACAGTTGTTGGGGTCAAATCCAGTCAATAGATCTTATCTCTTGTCTGCAAAAAGAATATATTTATTTTTCTCCTTTCGAATCTGTTTATGGGCGGTGGTCTTACACAATAAGCATCTTGGGCCATTACCTGCTCTCAATACAGTAGATCCGGTGCCTTGCCTTCCATATAATCCTAGGCATGGCTTAAAACCTAGCAGGATTTCCAGGTATATATTGATGACTGCAGCCCTGAAATACACGACATAATTAATCAGTGACTGCTGCAATTTGGAATACAGCTTAAACCCTACACATACATTGTGGAAAAAGGAAAGTGCAGTAGCATTGATATTATTCAGAATGTAAAACCGGAAATAGTTTAGGCTGCCAGCTGTGAGCCAGAGGTTGAGAGTTTTATTCCCCACTTTGCCACACAGAAGAAGCACTAGCTTGTGTAAACTTGTGAAAACTGCTTAATCCCAGAGTACCCCCAGAGGAAGGGAGTGGTAAACTGGTTCTGGATACTCTGTACATAGAAAGCCCTAGAAAGGGTTGCCAAATGTCAAAACTGATTTTACAGTGCATTATTATTATTATTATTATCATCTCTGAAACCTCATAACCTTAACCAGATAACTTCTGGTTTGTCCACAGACTCACCAGAACCTTAAATATGTTTCTGGAGTACCAAATTGCTGTTCAGTTCTCCTATGCATTGTCCATCAGATGCCATATATGACCCCTTTGTGAACAGTGTTTGTGGCTGGAGGCATATATCTTGCCTCAGAAAAAGAAAGGGTAAAAGGGTGGGAGGAGGTAAATATATAAATGTTACAAATTTAGCAGAAATGTCTGACTTTGATAGTCTGTCCATAAAAATTGATTTTATTTTAATCAGGAAACATCAGACTGCCAAATTCTCAGTGTATCAGTACATTGCAGAAATAGGTCACTAGTTTGTTTTGCACCCATGAACTTTTTTTCTCCAGACATCTTCTTGCTACGTATTTAAAAGAACAATACCCCTGTTTAAGATGTGTCCTAATTTGTAACAATATCCGTGGTGCAGCTGGCTTAGTCTTCCAAGTGCTTCTAAAATGGTTCTTAAATTTTACCTAGCCTGTAATAAGAAATTATCTGGAGACAAAGACACAGAACTGACGATAACAATAATCCACCCCTCATACATAACAAAAATAACAATAATAGCAAAAATCCACCCCTCATACTTAACAACAAAAATAACAAAAATAGCAATAATAGACCCCTCATACTCAGTCCCACCTCTAGTTGAATTTCAACGTCCAGTTCTTGTTTTGAAAGCTCAGACTATGTAACATAATAATTCCCTTTGGAAATGGACATACAGAAGAGCTTGGCTAGAGTAGAAAGAATCAAGCAAACAATCTGGCTTGGATTCCTTTACGAATTTCTGCACCTCAACAAGCTATTAGTGTCTATACCCTATATTTAGAGCAATTTTAAGTTATTTCTGGGGAGCCTATGTGGTGAAGTACAAACTTGCTGCTATTAGGATCTCCTGCATGCCAGGGCATTGGATAGTTGTACATTTTTAATAAGCCCTTGGGCTACCTTTTAAAAACCTTTTATACAAAAATTTGACTTCTACCCAAAAGAAAGAGAACAAGAGCAATGTATGAACATTTTTACAGAAGAGGTACATAGTGAGGTCATTAGAAGTTCATAATAGTTCCTTGGTGTCTTTGGTGTCTTTATGTTAATCTGTAGGAGAGCAGCAAAATATCTTCAATGCCCCCTTTATAGCTAATAGTCTTTCATCAAGAGAATCTGTTTACCACAGTCTCCCAGCCATTTCTTGCCCCTGTCATATGGTACAAGAATAACAGTTAAGTGCCACTGCCTAAACTAAGCCTTCTCCGGAGGTGGGAGAATGCACTACAAATCCCAGAATACCTCAGCTACCATGACCACTGGGACCTAGAATATAATTTTTCCAATCTCTGTCTTTCTCTCAAGATTGTTTCCATGGCCCTGATTATCAGTTGACACAGTTACTAGTATCAGATCAAAACTGTCTGATAAATGACTGATTCAGAAAGTCTTCTGGTTGTATATTCACTGTCTGTCCTAAATCATGCGTTGCTTAAATCATAACCAGTCATCATTAAATAAGGGAGTTGAATGATCAGGCTGCTTTCTGGCTGCTTTCACCTTCAAATATAGAGAACAGTAGAGGCACAGAACAGGACTACACCCAATCATGAAAGAAGGAATGCTGTTTTCAGTGTTGTCTAGCAGAATTTCCTGAGAGGAGGATGGATATTATTATCTATTTGTGGCAACTTATTAGCCACTTGCAGCATAAAATGGTGCTCCTCTCATTTAAAGTTTTGGATTATATAAAAATTAACCATGAAATTTCTTTGCTCAAGCAACCCTTTGTCTTCCAAGCTGCAGAGCTGATGATGCTCCTGCCAGTATCAGCTAAAGTCTTTGTGAGGTCCTTCTTGGAAGTGAGACTTCCAAAATGAGAAAATGTATTTCTGTTGCACCATTTATGCCTTTTTATTAGAGCCACGTTCCTTAAAACCTGCTCCCATTAACTTGAAGTTGAAAGAAAGCATTTCAAGATCCATAGGCGTCTTCATGTTTAATTGTGGAAGTTCAATAGCATGGTGGATGTAAGCTGTCATGATTCACTTCTTCTAAACCACAGTGAGAGCAGAGGAAAGACATGGACATATTATTTCTTATCTGGGTTGCATGAGAGGAAAAGAATGGCTTCATGGCCTAGCCTGATGTTTGCTGATGAAAGAAATCACAGAACTGAAAATGATGTTAGCAGCCACAAGGGCTGGATAAGAAGTTTCTGAGTTAAACCACACACTGCCTTTCTCCATGGCTCCCAGCTTGTTGTTTCTCCCAAAATAATAACTTGTTGGCTGGACTGTGTACATGGAATGTTTCTCCCAGCTCCAGTGATGTGGTGTCATTCATTTCCCTTTCTGGGGAAGGAGGGATAAATCATCAGCTGTTCAAAAGGGAAGACTTTAATGGAAAATCCTTGAACTGCTTTCAGAGTTGTTAAGGAGAACGGAGCTCATGCAAATAACAGGCAGTCCCAAAGAGTTTTCAGGGCTGAACACACTCCCATGCCTGATTTAGTGACACACTTGTGGTTTATGACCTCAACACAGCTTCCCAAAGAAAATTATGGGCTTGATTTTGCAAGGAGCCTGCTTCTGTCCCAAGGAAACCAAGCATATGCTGGTGCTTCATCACCAATGACACTCACATTCATTGCTTAGTTGGATTAATTACTACACTGGAGTACATTAAAGGGAATGGTGCTCTCTTGCTCATATCAACACATTCCTAGTGCCTGAAATCCTTATAAGGAATCCTTATCTTGTGCTGGAAACCTGACAATGCGAACTCTCAGTAGCTCAGCCCAGAATATTCCTTAGAATAGGGAGTGAATTTTTAACAGGACGTATGTTACCTGTTAGCATGCTCAGCCCTCTATTAGGCAGAATGAGGCAGCTGCTTAATCCAGAAAATTTGGACAGAGGTTGTGAAAAAGCATCAAAATGGTTAAAATTTTTTAAAAAATATCATTGTTGCACTTTCCTATTGGGAGGAGAAATCTGTGGATACAACCCCCACAAACAAAATAACTTGTCTGATATTGGGTTCTGTGTCCCGTGTTTTAAGAAATGAGGTGACATTTGTTGCTTTGCCTCAAGAGGAAAAACAGAGGTGGAGGTGCATGTTTGTTACAGCTAAGCTTCTGATGACCAACAAATGAAGCCAGAAAAGGCTGAGGTGCTCCCGTCAAGCTTTATTGCGAATTTTGATATTCCAAAGTCTTCCCCACATTCTCCACCAAGTCAGAAGGGATCCCTAGGGAGCTTTGGATCCTGGGGAGGGTGAATAGGAAAGTGTTAAGTAATACTTTACATCATCAGCTTGCAGGAGCATACATTTATCCAAGATAATTTTGTCCTGAGTGTCCAGCTCTGCATACAGCTACCGTCCAGCCAGCAGCCTCATCTGCAACCATTCAGATATGTTTGTTTTGTGCCTTTTCTTCTTATTCTTCAAGTTTTCCATTCATGGTCAGGTGCTAATTGCAAATAAAAGTGACTTAAAACTTATGCTGACACATATACTCACTTTATCAGATCTCCCAGAGCCAAATGGAGAATGTGCCCTTTCCAGATTGGGATTGGGCAAGTCTGTTTAACATGACTATCAGTAATAAGTGGTAGTGGTGCCTGGTGGACGCTGACCTGCCTGCCTTTGTTTTTTCCAGGAATGCTCACTTTGACAGGGTACATTGTATGGAGAAAGGGAGCAGAGCAAACCACGCTACTTCACCAAACAACACCAGCTGGTCCACTCACTACACCTTCTGGTTTAATGTCAAGAGAACAAAGCTAGAGGGAAGGCTCAAGACCCTTTGGTGCCTTTGGCTGAGAAGACTATAAGCGTATCATGGACCCCATGGAGTACGCTCAGCATTCCGACCACCATCTCCTCCTCTCCTTAGCCCTTTGGTTTCTTGCCGACAGAGGATTTCCCTCTGCTTTCTAAGGCCACATGGACCAATGTATGAACTCCCTCCCAGCACAACTGACTTCAAGGTTCAAATGTTTGAGATTGGACAATGAAATAGATTTCTTTCGTCCTTATTTTCAAAAACTGCTGTGGTTTTGCTGCTACACTAAGAATTGTGATTTGCATTGTATCGTTTTGGACCTATTCTTTTTGATTGGGGGTGGGACTGAAGGGGTTATACTGGAGTACTGACACTTCAGAGTCATCTCTATCTCCTACCCATAATGCACTTTTAAATGAAGAGTTATTAGAATATTTTATTGGCTAATATACCTTTTTTGTTGTTATTTTTTACAAAGGCCACCTTTATCCTTTTTAATGCCATATTTTCAGTGTTATACTTTTATGGCTTTTATTTTTTATTATTATTATTATTTTGTAATTTGACAGATGTAAGAAGCAGCATGAATAGTTTATACTGTGGTTTTTCAGAGACTAAATGCCAAGAGAACTCAGTAAATGTTTATTCCTCTCTGCTTTCCTCTCTTTCAATTCCCCTAAATAGTACCCCATTTGGGAACAGAGCAAGAGTGTTGAAGTAAAGACCAAAAAGAAAAAGAAAGAAAAAGGTTGTGGGGGGGGGGAAGGATCCCCTGAAGGTGTAAAACTATCTGGGGGAAATATTTGCTGGGTGTTATGAAAGACTTGGATGAAATTTCAACCCTGATGGTTTTTCAGTGATCCAGGAAGCCAGTGAGACAATCTCTCCAGATGCAAAGCCCCTTTCATGATAATTAGAAAGGTATGGCCAAGCCAATGAAAACACTGGGGTAAAGTGAGAAGAGAGCCCCCATGATTCCGTTTCACTGTTTGCTTTTTCCTGTCATGGTTAAAAGAAATGTGCAATTCAATCCTCAGTCAGTGGGTGGAGGATAACAGGGTAGAATTTACTTGTGTGCACTTGTATAGTTGTAGCCAAGCGTCCAAACGTACACGAGAGCACGTATGCCGGCACTGATTGGGTTAAAAAAAAAAGTGGAATATCCCATTCTGACAACAACAACAAAATACTAAGGGAGAAAAAATGGGGGGGGGTCGTAAAAAATGTCTTCAAATCACCTTGTGATCCAGTGTAACTGTTTACTAACTTGAATAAAGCAATTGTTCACATGATGGTGTCCAGGGCACACCTTTACTATAAGGCTATTGTAATTAGCAAACAGGGTGGGGGCTTGGAAAGGACATCCTTCAAGGATCTGCGAGCAGGGCTGTTGTCATAAAAGCCCATCGTATTAGAGCCTTATAGCGATGGTGCACCAAGGGCACAATGTACATACTGTATTTCTATATTTTCCTTTGTACAGTTTCACTTACGTCAAGCTACTGTTTTACAGGTGCTCCTTATTTATTAGGGCTGTGAAGGCTTGGAAGATTACACCCAATGAGCAAGCTCGCTTTTTAAAAAAAACCAATAAATAAATGAAAAATTAAAAGGGGGAGGGGAGGGAGGGCATGGGTGGGTGTTGGGGGAAGGATGAGCTTAGGAGCCCATGGAGTGATTTCAAAATCTAACAGAGACATGTGTCTATGGGGGGAAAAAAAGGAAGCACTTCTCATATGCTTCTAGTTGTTCTGGGCTCACACCATTTTTCTTTCTCCCTGACTGGTGTCAGATTTATTAAAACAAAATAAATCTCCAAGTTAAAAAAAAAGTACACTTAACATTGGTTTTGTTTTCCTTTTCTTAAACATCTGTGTACAAAAGGTCATTGTTGCTTCCTGGAAGTTTAGGAACAGTGAAATTCAACCATGGTCATAAGAAGAATGCCCCTGTTAAAAAGCTATTTTAGGAGGAAAGCTGAATTTTTGTGAGTTGATCTCTTCAAATCCTTTCCCTTCTTTTATGGAATATAGGAAAAAGCAATATTTTAACCTGCAATAGAGCCTCTTTCCTACCTCTTTGCTGCAAGAAGCAGCATCCACATCACTCTCCATTCAGTCTTAAGGTGCAAAACACAAATAACCTCTCTGTTTTTCTACATATAAGATGTTTGAGCTTTTCCACCTCCTATTGCCCTCAACCTATGGTATCAAATCTTGCCTGCAGTAATGTCTGCCCAGCAAAAGTACATATATTACATTTTGGACATTGTTCCTAACCATCTTTGCCTGGCAATGTCATTATTATTGTTTTTTAATATTCAGAGATCTCAAAGTTAAGACACAACTTTCAAAAGAAATGCTTACACTATCTGTGTGTGCCTGCCTGCCTGCATGTACACACATACACCCTCTTTTTCTGTAATATGGAATGGACAAATCTTATGTTCAGTTTATCAGGGGTTTTGAGAGGTTATTGTTTTTCATTAAACTGTGTATGAAACATTTTGTGTCCATTTGTATGCTACAAGTGCACCCATGTTTGTAAATATTTTTTGGCTATATTCTGCTAGAAATAGCAGAGAGGAGAAGGGAAACAAAATGCAAGGGAGATAGGGAAAGTTACAGAAAATTGAATGCAAACTTCCAAAGAATAGGAAGGAGAGACAAGAGGGCCTTCTTAAATGAACAATGCAAAGAAATAGAGGAAAATGACAGAAAATGAAAAACCAGAGATCTGTGCAGGAATATGGACATGATAAGGGACAAAAATGGGAGGGACCTAACAGAAGCAGAAGACATCAAGAAGAGGTGGCAAGAATACATAGAGGAATTATATCAGAAAGATTTGGATCTCCCAGACAACCCAGACAATGTAGTTGCTGACCTTGAGCCAGACATCCTGGAGAGCGAAGTCAAGTGGGCCTTAGAAAGCCTGGCTAACAACAAGGCCAGTGGAGGTGATGGTATTCCAGTTGAACTATTTAAAATCTTAAAAGATGATGCTGTTAAGGTGCTACATTCAATATGCCAGCAAGTTTCGAAAACTCAACAGTGGCCAGAGGATTGGAAAAGATCAGTCTACATCCCAATCCCAAAGAAAGGCAGTGCCAAAGAATGCTCCAACTCCCGTACAATTGGACTCATTTCACACACTAGCAAGGTTATGCTCAAAATCCTGCAAGGTAGGCTTCAGCAGTATGTGGACCGAGAACTCCCAGAAGTACAAGCTGGATTCCGAAGAGGCAGAGGAACTAGAGACCAAATTGCTAACATGTGCTGGATTATGGAGAAAGCCAGAGAGTTCCAGAAAAATATCTACTTCTGCTTCATTGACTATGCAAAAGCCTTTGACTGTGTGGACCACAGCAAACTATGGCAAGTCCTTAAAGAAATGGGAGTGCCTGACCACTTTATCTATCTCCTGAGAAACCTATATGTGGGACAGGAAGCAACAGTTAGAACTGGAACAACTGATTGGTTCAAAATTGGGAAAGGAGTATGACAAGGCTGTATATTGTCCCCCGGCTTATTTAACTTATATGCAGAATACAACATGCGGAAGGCTGGACAGGAGGAATCCCAAGCCGGAGTTAAGATTGCCGGAAGAAATATCAACAACTTCCGATATGCAGATGATACCACTCTGATGGCAGAAAGGGAGGAGGAATTAATGAACCTTGTAATGAGGGTGAAAGAGGAGAGTGCAAAAAACGGCCTGAAACTCAACATAAAAAAAACCCCTAAGATCATGGCCACTGGTCCCATCACCTCCTGGGAAATAGAAGGGGAAGATATGGAGGCAGTGACAGATTTTATTTTCTTGGGCTCCATGATCACTGCAGATGGAGACAGCAGCCACAAAATTAAAAGACACCTGCTTCTTGGGAGGAAAGTGATGACAAACCTTGATAGCATCTTAAAAAGCAGAGACATCATCTTGCCAACAAAAGTCCGAATAGTCAAAGCTATGGTTTTTCCTGTCGTGATGTATGGAAGTGAGAGCTGGACCATAAAGAAAGCAGACCGCCGAAGAATTGATGCCTTTGAATTGTGGTGCTGGAGGAGGCTCTTGAGAGTCCCTTGGACTGCAAGGAGAACAAACCTATCCATTCTAAAGGAAATCAACCCTGAGTGCTCACTGGAAGGACAGATCCTGAAGCTGAGGCTCCAGTACTTTGGCCATCTCATGAGAAGACTCCTTGGAAAAGACCTTGATGTTAGGAAAGTGTGACGGCAAGAGGAGAAGGGGACGACCGAGGATGAGATGGCTGGACAGTGTCTGCGAAGCAAACAGCATGAATTTGACCGAACTCCGGGAGGCAGTGGAAGACAGGAGGGCCTGGCGTGCTCTGGTCCATGGGGTCACAAAGAGTTGGACATGACTAAATGACTAAATGATGACCACAAAAGACATGGGCATTGCTCGTATCATGTATAATGCATTTTGAAATGATTATAACGACTATATACATTCCTGTTGTGCTTTCCTCCAAATGGATTTTTTCTCTTTTTTTCAACAGGGGAGAATCTTATTGCAAAATTTGAAGCATAAGTTGTGTTTTCAGTGCACACATTGATTACAAACTGAGAGATTACAAAATGTGCATTAAATGTGATACAAACTGATTTCTTCCTAATCCCTAGTATGGACTAATAGATGCTGAAAAACATCTGTAAGATCTACCCTGTGCCATGTAATTTTTTCCCTACTTCCTATATGAAAGTATAAAAGACTTGCCAAGGAGATATCGAAATATACTTGCAGACAGAAACATATGTCGAACTTGATAGTGTTTCAGTCTTTTGCAGTTGGTTTGCTCACAGTGAAACAACTGCATCGGGATTAGTTACGTGTACTGCTCCTTCCAGAAGTCTTCACTCCACTTGTTTCAAGGCACTTTATTATCTGTTTAAAGGGATTACATTTCCCCTGTCCAAATATGAAGGAGAGACAAAGTCTCAGGATGTTACAAAAAATGAGTTTATTACACTGCAAAAACGCTCAGTGTATTTTGGCCCAAGCAGTCTGTGACCCTCTCCAGGGCCAATAATTTAGCAACATGTAATGGAGATCTCATATGCATTGATTTGGATTTCTTCATTGAGCAGAGGGTTAGACTTGATAGCCTTATAGGCCCTTGATAGCCTTATAGGCCCGAGAATAACACCATTATTCTAGGATTCTACCTCTTTTGATTTGGTTGCCAAACTACTGACGAAGAAGTCCACAACTTGCTTGGACTGAAATCCATTGGGCAGTTTTTAAAGTGTGATAAATCTATTTTTCTCAACATCCTGAGACTTTCCTTCATATTTGTATCTTGTGGATGTTTCCAGTTTCTTTTGGAGCCACATCAGCAGTTTGGAGTCCTGCCTAATGGAAATGCAGTTCAAGACCGGACAATACTTTTATTTGATTACCAAAAAAGTGAGAAAGGTGAGCTTTCAAGTTTTTCAGAACTCTGCATCAGGAGAAGATGATACAAACTTGGAGATGAGGCAAACAGTTGGAAAATAGAGCCATGTGTGTTGCTTACCTCCAATGTAGACAGACTGCCAACAAAGTCAAATGGAGTTTAGCTTGTTCTTGAGCCAAGGAGCGGCAAAATCATTTCCCAAACTCCCTCAACCCTTTACAGATGAAAGACTAGCTTGCCCACCACCGGCAGTTATTTCAATGGCCTTTGAGTGAGGACAGACACAAAAATATGAAGACTTACCGGTATATTTGGCTTCATATGAGCCAAAAAAAGATGGGGGGGGTAGAATATAACTTGCTATCACAGTATATTAAAAAGTCAGTTTCGACTGCATTGGTAGTCACAAATACTGGGCCAGAGGAGGAGGTTTACTTTTATGGAAAATAATCTTCTCATGGCAGAAAAAAATTCTCCTAGGCAGCCTATCATGGTATTTCCAAGAGCAAATACAAAACTTTGCCATATGAGCCATTCACAGAAAAACTAAGTTTGGGGTTGGGAAATATCTTTATGGAATCACAAAAAAGTTACAAATGAGATGAACTTTCAAGTACTCCAGAACTTGGGCATTTGATAGTACCCATAATGAATGATAAAAGGTTCCCATGCTCACTCCTACGTCAATATTAAACCTGAAAACAGGTAGCTTACCTAGAAGCTGATGTGGATTAGTTCAAGGCACAGGTATAAGCACTTGATCTGTTAGAAGAGGAGGATTCTGAGCCATAACAGCTCTCACTGAAACAGATTTGTTAAACTTTAAAGTGCCAGAGTATTTTGTCTTTTTTCCACTTTGTTCTCTTTAATTTTGCTTATATAAGCATCTTGTCAGAAACTGAAGTCTTCAAAATAGAATCCAGCAATTAAAATATTCCAAAAACCACAGCAATCAAACAGTGAGGATCAACATGACCCATGAAGCCTCTACTGAAATCCAGGTACATTTGAATCTTTTCAAATGCTACGGCTGAAAATCCCAAGTACACATTGAATAGGAATAAAATCCCACAAAGTAGAGGCCATTCTGAAATTGACTTGTCACTAATGCAGCATGGAAAAGCTACTTTCTTGGACTACAGCTCCCAATATCCCCCAGCCAATACGGCCATAATCTGGGAATTCTCTTGTCCAAGAAGGTAACACCTTGAAACTGTGGTCCTTCTCAATCTCCTGATCTTAAAGTCAGTCCAATCTGGAGTTCCAGTATTGAACTTAATGCACAAACATGGAGCACAAATAACCTGTCCCTATGCCATCTAGACCTCTAAAGGCCCAAACTAGCATTTTCAATTGGG